ATGTGTATAAGAGACAGCTGCTAGTATTGTTGTAAAACTTGGATAACATTCTGCAATTGCTGTTTCTATTTCCATCTTCCCTTATTCTCTAACAGTTATGTAAGTAGGAGGGTTGTTATGTTTTGTGCATGGTTTTGTTGTATGTACAAGGAATACTATAAAGATCTCACATGCAACTGAGACATGCTATTTAAACACTTTGAGCATAAAATTAATATATTATTCAAAAGGGTTCTTCAGTGAGTAAAGGAGATAAATATAGGTATCTTTTCCAATGTCATCTTCATTCTATTTTCCAGAAATAAAGAAAACTATTTTCTTGCTTGAACCTGCTAATAGTGCACTGTTGAAAATGACCTGGCATGTAAGAAAGGGTCTTTCTGAGTAATATAGACTGTTTTTTATAGTTTTTAATTAATCTCTCAAAAATATCCAGATTTTGATAATGGGGAATATCAAGTCTATGTGAGGCTCTAAAGTTCACAGGGAAAATAGACAGAAAGAGCTGAGATGTTTAGAAGAATGAAAAAATGAATAGTAGATTACTGGTAGCATTTGAACGCTAACTTTTTAAACTTCAATTGTTACTTGGCTTATTGAACTGATTTAGGAGTCCTTTTTTCCTCTCTTTACCTTTCCCTCTCAGAGAAATAGGAATTTTTTTGGTTTGCATATGATGTTTAAACATTTCATACAATGGAAAATTGAAACCACATTTATAGCCTATTGTTTAATCTCAATTAAAATGCTTAAGATTTTTTCATTTGTTTCTTATTAAAAATAATAATACTAATGTTAATAATCTAATTATAAACAACTAGTAAATGCTTGCTGTGAGTGTGTGGGTCTGTCTTGCTTTGAATAGTTTTAATCACTTAAATACATTTCTAGCTGAGTGACTGTGCCTCTGACTGTTTTGAATCAATATTTGTGAGATTTACTAATACTTTATAAAATGTAGTCTATGGTGTGATTGTAGAAGTATTGCTTTTAAGGACTCGTTAAAAAAATATTTTAGAGGTAGCTGTTCAAGTTGTAGTAGACTTTCAAGAACAGGCAAGCATGAATTAAAACAAAACACAGGCAAGCTGAAAGCTGTAGTTGTATTTCTTGGGGGCAATATATACATTTGTGAATCTCATGTTTTAGCATAGAATGAGAATCTAGACAGTTCAGCCAATACATAGAAAGGATAGTAGGGGAAAAGCAACACTGCATCCAAAAAACTTTAAAACTTCATTGCATGCTGAGTAAAGTGTTTTATTTTAGGTGTTTGTGTAATTTGTAATGGAAAGTATGGGTTACAATGTCAAATGATGGGAAACAGTGGTCTGCAAGACAGCATTAAAAATTGGGAATGCCAAATATGTGCAGTGTATGTCAGCCTTGGTTGAGAATTTGTTTTGAAAAAATAAATTGTTAAACAATGAAGGCCAGATCTTTTTATTATTTTTCCTGGGAAAAGAGTTTGTATAGCCTAAGGGAGAATTTGGTGCCTGTGGGAAAGAGAACACTGGGCTCAATTTTCAAAATTTACGCAGCCCTGCCAAGACAGATGGGAAGAAACAAGAGTGCACCCCAAACAACTGTAGCCCTGGGAGACTGCTCATCTTGCATGTGGGTTTTCCCATTCATAATTGTGCTTAAAAATCAAGCTGTGCACACTAGTAGCTCTGCACGTGGAGGAAACAAGCTTGTTCAGCCAGATTTTGATGTACGGCAATAATTAAGCTTGCCCAAGTCATGTAAAGGGGTGACTGTTAAGTGCCAGTGTCTATCCTTATTAATTTCAGAGTGAGCATTATAAAGGCAAGTGATGTGTGTTAAGTATGCCTGTGCCCTTGACAGTCCATAATCTACAGATCTGCTGTGACTAGACACTGCAAGGCATCAGTGACTGTGGTGCTGTTATGACATGAACATATTTCATGTGACTTCTAGAAGCCCCTCTTGTGATTCGGCTTGAATGTTTTCTTTGCAGTAGAGTGTGCTGGGAGTGCTTGTTTTCCAGTCTGCTACTGCAGCTCCATGAGTGGAACTGAGTGCTGGTCTTCTGGCTCCTGTTTCTTTGTAGTTCAGGATGCTGTTCGTGTTTCTCATCTGCAGCATTCAACATCCTGTCCATCTCAATGGCTTCCTTTTGAGCCAGCATAGTGGATAAACATCCTTTATACAGCTTAAGGTTCAATTTTTTTAAAACTGTGTGGTCAAACAATGTAGCTGTTGTGGATGCTACAAAGTACATGTTGAATGTGTATTCTGTATTTTTGCTAGTGCCAACTATTTTTGGTGAATGTGGCATATTTCTACAAAACTGTTCTAATTGGATCTGTTCCTTTTGCTCTAGCTAATATGTTGAAGTGGAACAGGGCATCAAGAGCACTGCATCATCTTTAAAATAATACATCCATCCAATTTTTTTCCCCAGATTGTTGCTGCTCATGGGATCTTTAAGAGCAGATCAAGTGAGCAGAATACACAGGGAAACAGGATTAACACATGAAGTTTAGTTAAATAATGCAAAATTAAATCATTTTTATAATCCCAGAGGAAAAGATACCGTAGAGAACAGGATCATAGAACCACAATCTAAAATGAGGATTTTGGGACAAAATATTTTGAACTGTTTTAAAAATACTTCATACATGCAAAAGTGAATTAGATTTCTCTACTGATGTGTGCCATTAATCCTTAGCAAGGGAAAGGAATGTCTGATTCGGGAAGATGCAGAGTCTCATAAATCAAGGGAATAATGAGACTTGAGCCAAACATAATTTTGATTGCCTTTGATTGTTCCATTTTAATCATTCTTTCAGACCTTTTATGTAAAAGTGGATGGGGAACTGGGGGGTTTTGTGCTTTTGTTTGTTTGCTTGTTTAACTAGGCTTTGGGCAAGATCTTTGTTCTTGCCTTGTCTTGTTTTATTTATCTTTTTTTGTGGTCAGTTGTTATTTTTTGTTGCCTTGGTTGCCATTCAGGGCTTTGGGTTACACTGAGAGCTGACTCTGTGCACGTTCCCTGATAGCTTTGCCTGTGCAGACGCCAAAGTGACATTCTTACCTGCTGCTGCACTTGTTCCACAAGGAGCAGGTGGGTTGTGCATTGACTTAGGTGACCCAAAGACCAATATAACCTGCATGCTCTATTTCTACTCCCTTGTGGTACAACTTAAGTAGCACTGCAAGTTTCTTTCATAATTTGGCATTGCATAATGTATGAACTGGCAATTTGTGCCTTTTGCAGGGTTTGTTTTTGTTGTGTGGGGTTGGGTTTTTTGTGTTTTGTTTTTAATTGTGGGAAGGGGAAGAAAAGACAGAAATTTCTAATTGCACCCTGTTCTCTTTCTTTTGCATTTTGGTAGGACTGGACGATTGCCTGCAGCAGTATGTCCATAAATTTGAACGGGAGAAGATAAATGGTGAACAGCTGTTACAGATTTCTCACCAGGACCTTGAAGATTTGGGTATCTCACGGATTGGACACCAGGAACTGGTTCTAGAGGCTGTGGATCTCCTGTGTGCACTGGTTAGTTAAGTGGTAAACAGACACACAAAGAATTTTAAGTGCCTTTTTGAGTGAATCACTAAGGCGAGTCTGGTAAAACCAGAATACCTCTGTCTCTTGCTTTCTGTTACACATCATGGTAAAAGAAAACAGTAGGAATTTCTTTGTCTCACAAACTTTGTATCTATAGCTCTAACTTTTTCCTAAGAGTCAATGCTAATTCATTTGGTTTCATTTCTTAAGAAAGAAGTTTTCTGAGTATCATTGTTAGATTTTGTGGCTCCTGTTAGTGAACAGAATGATTAAAATTGCTGTTGAGTAGAGTGAATTTGCCATAGATGTAAGATATATTGTTGAAGTGACAGCTGCAATGGTTTGTCACATCAGTTGAAATGGGTTTAGGGCAATTCTCTAGTCTACATACAAAGTAAATAAAATACTTTTGAAATGAGAGTTGTTTTGGTAACTCAAATTCAACTCTCATAGGATTCAGAGCTCAAGCTTCTCCTCTGTCTTACTACTGATATATATAACTGCACAGATACTTTTAAAACAAAAACTGAAAATAATAGATATATTTCAGATTGTTTTGCTAGTGCAGGCTTTATTTAAAAGCTGTAGTTTGGACACAGTCTTGAAGATGTGTTTGATATAACACAGTGAATGAGAACCAGAGGTATATATGATTACATCAGGGCGAAGAGTGGGAAAGGCTGCTCCATGATTCCTTGGCCAGCACTGGCCTGCCTTCCCTTCATAGGCAAGACTTGCAGCACTGAGCATACACTTCTTAAAATGGAGAGTCTTTATTGCCTGTGTGTGGGCTTTATTTACTGCAGAGAGGTCTTGCAGGGATCATTCGTACTCCACAACCGGAACAAATTGGATAGCCTGTACTGAAAGAAGTGTATTTAATGAAATTACTTGATACAATCTGAAATGTTTCCCAAAGAGTTGCTCTTATATTTGGAAAATGATTTAATTCCTCTTCTGTATTTGATCTATCAAAATTTTTAAACTTGAAAATCTAACAGAAGAATGTAGTTAGCTTGGAATGCAGTTCATGTTGTGGGAAGGGATAATCTGTAGGGCAAGTAAAGGGGTCTGGTAAGTTAGTAAATGTACTGTATACTGTATACAATCCTGACTGAAATAATGGATGTGGCAGCCCCCAAAGGCACTTTTTTTTTCTTTTTAAAATATTAGAATGAAATGAACAAAAAGCTGGATGACCGCCAGAACCTAAAGCTGTGTTTTATCTCCTACAATTTCCTTCTAATTTCCTTTGTAGACAAAAGTTTTGACCTCAGACTCGTTTCTGGAAATCCTTTGTGAAATGCAGCTCAAGTTAATGCATTAGACAGGTTCACATATTGCAGCTGAAATGTCCTTGTTCCCTTTTAAGAGGTGGAGGAAGAATTCCTGTGTTTTAGTTATGCCCTTTGTCACCTTGATGCTCCTTCCCTTGGGTTTTTGGGATAGTTGTATAAAATCATTGGTTTTGTTCCTGAGGGCATGGTGTGTTCTAAGTTCTAGTGACAGCCATTTTTTTAACTTTGTATTTCCTTTTTGTGAGAGAGAATAAAGGTTTCCCTAATCCACCAGTACTAGTTCTTTGAAAGTGGATCTGTGTATTGATATCATTTAAGCGGATGTTTTTTGCATGTATGTATGGTGACATTTCCCTAACTTTTTGGGCTTTGAATTAAAAAGCAAAGGAACTATTTTTGGGATTTCTGGGGGATTTTTTTTTTCTTTTTACCCCTTCCCACTATGTTTTCAACTCACACTATGGAAATGTGGTGTTGGCTGGGCCAGCCTGAGGTCAGGCTTTGAAAGTTGGCCATGTTGGCAGGGGGAGGGGCTGAGAGGGGGTTTTGGTGGTTCCCCAGTCTTGGAATTCTCATGAAGAATTTCCCTTCTTATCCCTTGGCAGAACATCTTTCTCCTGCAGTAACTCTTTTCAAACATTGACCATACAGACCTTTTTTCCAGCCTCAGTAGATCAATTATAAAAATACAGTGTGAAGGTAGTCCTTTCCTTGAGAAAGGACACCAAATACCCTTTTTAAATGAAGATTTTATAGGGATAGAGCCCTCTTTGGCAGCTAGACTACCAAGCTGAAAATATGGCTGCAAGTTGTGGTGTTTGTTGTTGTAGTAAGCAAACTCTAGGACAATTGTAACTACAAGAGAAATAAATTCATCTTTCTCTGCTGCTTTGGTGATGAGGAAGCATTACCTCATCTCCTCATAGCTGTGGCCACGTGTGTGACAAAGCTGTAGCTGAAGAGGCAGCAGAAGAGAGGGTGAACAGGGATAACAAGTGAAGGTTTCCCGTGAGCACGCTTCTGTTGCTCTTGAGCTGGTCTAATAGAATTTTTTGAACAGGTGTTGAAGACTTATTTAAGGAATTTAGAGGATTTATCCAAGTAACTGAATTCCCCAGAAGGGAAAAAAAACTATCACCTTGAGTGCCTCCATCTTATAGTTAAGGACAGTATTTGCTTGGGGGAGAAAAGGGATGGGAGGAAGATTTCTTAGTTGACTGAAGTATTTGGGGGGGGGGAGGGGGATGATGACAACACACATGAGCATACATAAATATGCTTTTAAACTCATGGAAAACCACAAAAACAGGGGCAGGGATTCAGAAAACAAGCTTTCTCAGCCAAATAATTGGAACAAAAAGCATCTAGCATGGTGGTGAAAACTGAATACTTAGACATAATTCCCTGATGAGTAGACTTGCCTGTTTGGGCTTCAATATAAAACAGTGCAATCATTAACAGGAAACTTTTTCACTTTTATTGTGTCCTTTGGATTAAATTTCTGAATCTTTACTTACACAAGTGCGATGGGAGAGTTTGGAAGCGAAAAAGCAGTTTCTAAGCAATCTAAAAAACCAAACCCAAACCACAAAACAAAAAGAACATAGTTCTTAGTGTTGTGCCTTTGGTAATTTTACTGGTAGTAATGTTCTGCCAGCATATTTGCAGTGCAACAAAATATAGCGTCATAACATAAAATAGAAGATGCATACACGAGGACTTACCCTTTCTGGCTAATCATTGTCAAAAGCACCACTTCTATGTACCACCTGCTAAGATTTCAGCTTTCTAGAGGTCTCAACTTAAATCTAGTGCTGTTTAGTAGGAAATTTGGGACTCCAGAGGATTATTTAGGATGCATTTTTGTTAAAAGGTAGAGAGCAAGAATGGATGACTGTGACAGTACCTTGTGTTAACTCTATATAGGCATGCAGTGTGTTGGATCAGCTTTCGAGCAGGTGTTCAGTCTGTTTTTATTAATTTTTTTTCCGAGAACTGGTTTTCAGTTGGATTTACCAGCAGATCCAGCTCATCACAGTGCAGCACATGGACATGGTTGTGAAGGGGAAGGCAGTGCTGCCCCTGGACAGCAGCAGAGCTCTCGATCAGCCCAAGTCAGCTCTGACAGAACTGCTGTGCTCTTTTGACTTAAGTTAGTCAAGCCTTTTTTATTTTATTTTTTTTATGTTGGCTGCTTGATTGTGAGCAACTATTTGGCCAGTGTACTTTTTCTAATTAAATATAAGGGAGTTTGAAAAGAGCACTCTCTTGTACGCGTGTGTTCTCTTGTGCACGTGTGTATGTTGTCTCTCTCTCCAGTCCTGCGCGTGGCTCCCCAGGTTAATGAGTAATAACCTGGGAGTGTTTGACTTAGGGTGGTCTTGACCTCTGGCTTCAGCCTAGGTTTTGATGAAAGCAACTTTGATGTTTCAAATCAGGAGTGCTAAGAAAATATAAAGTGTTCTTTGGTTCATAAGCAACATCTGCAACCTTTTGGTTGCTTAAACAATAATCTGTTAAATTTTGTAGTCTCAATCATGTAGAAATATTTCAAAAAAGCCTGCTACATTTTGCAGTTCAACTGTGTGTCACTGTGAAGGCTGTTTGGTGTTCTGCCATGCTATCAGCATTCCTATCTGTCCTGAATTGGGGCTATAGCTCCATGACAAGTTAGATTAATCCAAGTCAGCTGCTGCCTCCACCCCCTCCTGTCCTTGGATTAGTGAATTTTTTTTTTGTTCTTGCACTCACCTGACCCTGAGGTGAGCTAGGTCAGGGAGCTAAATGAGCTGAGAGCATGCTACAGTAAAAAAGGGAAGAAATTTTTCTGAATTGTGTAGTTCCCCAAACCAGCCATCCCAACAGACTGGACACTGAAAGTGAAGGAGCAGAAAACTACCAGAAATTGGTGATTATGTGTGAAGTGGTCAAGATAGAATCAGTTTGGATAGAAACTTTGCTCTATCTGATGAAGAGACATAATGTGTATTAGAGCAAACAAATGAGGAAGACTGGCTTGCCCCTGGAGCAGAAGTGGTTTGGGTTGTGATGACCCTTTGTTCTGGGGAGTTTTATCCCTTGGGTCTGGTTCGTAGCTGGATGATTTGGTTGCCTATATTGAAAAGCTTCATGCTCCCTGTTGTGCTGGATAAGCACAGTGTTTATCCAGGACTTTTCCTAGAGCACAAACTGTTGGTTTAGATAACTCAGGTGTACTCCACAGAGTTTGGGGGGGGGGGGAGGTTGTAGGAAAGCTTAGTGTAGTGACTGGAGAGCATGGCTGTGATGTGCTCTTGACAGGCTGCTGGGGACACTAGTTGCAGTCATAAACTGGAGCCCCTGTATCTCTAGAGGCAGCACCTGTGTTGCTAAAGTCCACCTCAAAACTGCGAACTACATGACAGAATTATTTAAAACTAGCTGAACTAGAAAGGTCACACCAGATAAACTCACTGTATAAATAAGGTGAAAGAGGTGTGGTAAGGAGTATGTGAATGTTTTGGGGCCAAAGCCAAAATGTGACCTGGTATATCGATGTGTGTCCTCTTGAATGCTGGGGCCATCTCTAGTCACAGACACCCATGGGTGGTCGGCACAGTCTCTGTACCTGAATGACAGAAATAAAGACCTGGAGATACTTAAATACTCTCTCAAATTCTGACCACTATACCACTGTACAGGAAAAAAAAATTTGTATTTTTCCATCCCTTTATGGAAGGAGGTGGGGGTCAGCATCCTCCAATTCCCCTGTTAAAGGGGGAGATTTCTGGCACATAGATACTTTCAAGTTCTTGTGTTCACAAGAATTTACCCCACATCTAGACCTGTTGGTGAAAAAGTATTCCTCCAAAAATAGACTAATATGCAGTGTGCTATGAGGAAAAGAAAACTAACTGCAAGAAATGCATCTGTATGATGCTCTTGGTTTGTGGGTTTTTTTGTGTTAAAAGGTGAGAAGTTCACACATGACAGGGTGCAAATACTTTAACATTGTTTAGTAATCCAAATCTTTTCCTCTCTGTGATCATGGAAAATTTAAGGATATCCTTTGCTGTTGCAACAGTAGCATTTTTTTAATTGGATATATCCTTTTAACCCCTACTTTTGGCTGCACTTTCATGATACTTCCTTGCCAAGAGCCAGCGGGGAGGAGGGAGGCAGTTGTGTGACTTACACTCACTGGGATCCTACCCATAGGAGGTGGTCAGTATTTTAAAGGTAGCTGAGTGGCTGAAACATCTCCATACACTGATGGGTTTCTCTGGGCCATAGGTTCTGTTTCATCTTTTGTAAATGACTTTATCTAAGATTTTCCAGCCTATTTAATGGATGCTTGACTGTGGAGGGAATGGAGTCACAAGTCAGCCAGCAGTGTGCCTTGGCTTCAAAGAATTCATCGGTACCTCAGGCTGCGTTAATGGGAGCATGGCCAGAGAGGGAGGGAAGTGATTATCACCTTTTACTTGGCACTCACTCATCTACCAATGCCCCCCACCCCCAAATACAGGAAAGATGTGGACAAACCAGAGCAAGCTCAGGGGAGGCCTACCAGGTTGGTCAGGACTGGAGTACTCACTTGTGAGGAGAGGCTGGGACTTCTTCAGACTGAGGAAGAGATGGTTTCAGGGAGGCTTAACAACAGATCCCCAGCACCTACTGTGGGGTGAGGACATGGTTGACAGGATGACAGAGCTGGGCTATTCACAGTGGTGCATGGCAGGAGGATGAGAAACTTGGGCAGAAGTTGAAACAGGATGTTCAGGCTAGGCATAAGGAAACACTTTCTCACCCTGAGCATGGTCAGTCAGTGCATCAGGTTGCCTGGAAAGGTTGTACAGTCTCTGCCCTTTTGAAGACCTGACTGGATAAAGCCCTGAATAAGCTGGCCTGAGCTCACAGCTGAGCCTGCTTCAACTTGGGTGATGCCATGATCCTGAGTGGAGGTGTGAGGAATTCCCAGAAACTTGGAACTGAATGGAATTAAGATTTGCTTTAGTTGCTCTAGTTTTTTGAGGGGGAAAGGAGAAATATTAGATGGTATAGGTGACTAAACTATGGAACTTTGAGGTTGATAGCAAGAATCTGCAGGAGCAAAAGAATAAAGGCAGGCAGGGTTTTTTTGTAGTGGGGGGATGCATGGGTTTGGTTTTGTTGGGGCTTTTTTTGTGTGTGTGCGCCTTTTTTTTTTTTAGAAAAGTAGGAATTTTTACTCTAAAAGAGGTAAGCTAGGACTTAACTTCCAGAAGATGTCCACAGAGGTTTTAGAAGATGAGATAACTCAAAACCAAAGATACTCAGCAACATGTTACTACATAATTCACATATTTGCACACTGACAGCAAGAAGGTGATGATCTTGATTACAAAATTGAGTTATCTTCAGAACATATATAGCATTTCTGACATGTTTGGAACGAGATTGTCAATATATTGCTTAATTGGGTTTCAATCTTACAGAGTGTGGTTTGGTTGTATTTGAATTTTCAAAGTTGAAGTTACAGGCACAACTTAAAGATTTTTTTTAGATTTCAAAAATTTTCATGAAGATGCTGTTGAATGAAAAACGTGACATCTAAGAAAGGTTTTAATTACTATGTGTAGTGTTAATGCAGTCCTCAGACTTGTAAATAATTGCACTGCTGTAACCAAGGAACACAGTAACTGAAAACTTGTGATCCAAATATTTATTCCATCTTTTGAGTGTGAAATTACATTTGCTTCCTGTGGATGTTTTTATCTCTTGCCAGATTAAACTTATCTTTAATTGTGAATGGAATGTTACTTCGGTGTTTATGTACCATAGTATAGAACACATTTTAAGAAAAAACAGCATTTGTTTTCCTTTAACAAAAAGAAAAGCAACACGGTCCTGTTAGTCTAGCCACATTTTAATGGTAAATGACATCTGATAGGACACTGGGACTTGATTCTGATTGAAATGTGTCCTCAAATCTCATTAATGTCTAATTGAGGGGGTTTGGCACACACAAACATATTCTTTAGTGGCTGTAGCATAGAACAAATCTTTGACATTTTTGCCAAAAACCAGAATAAAATTGGACAAATCCTCAGACCTTTCATTCCATATGAGTTTGTACCTTGTGTTATAATAGGATGACTCAATAGGGAGATTTATCAAGCTTAATAATAATTCCTTGCAGAACTATGGCCTTGAAACAGACAATATGAAGAACCTGGTTCTCAAGCTGCGAGCATCATCCAACAATCTGCAAAATTACATCAGCAGCCGTAGAAAAAGTTCAAATTATGATGGAAACACTTCTCACAAACCCCCCAATGAATTCCTTACTTCTGTAGTAGAGCTTATTGGTGCTGCTAAAGCCTTGCTTGCATGGTTGGACAGGTAAGAATAAAATCTTTATATTTTACTTCACTGCTATAATGAATTGCTTCTCCTTGTAGGGCAATTTCTAGAGGCTTGGGTGTCATCTTGATCTCGATCACCCCAAAAGGCCTCTAGTGGACAAATTTAATCTAGGGTATATACTCTTGTGCTTCCACACTTCACAGAATCACAGAATCATTAAGGTTTGAAAAGACCTTGAAGATCATCTAGTCCAACTGTTAACCTAACACTGACACTTCCCAACTACACCACATCCCTCAGCGCTATGTCAACCTGACTCTTAAACACCTCCAGGGATGGGGACTCCACCACTGCCTTGGGCAGCCCATTCCAATGCCTAACAACCCGTTCTGTAAAGAAATGCTTCCTAATATCCAGTCTAAACCTTCCCTGGCACAACTTGAGGCCATTCCCTCTTGTTCTACTGCTTACTACTTGGTTAAAGGCTCATGCCCAGCTCTCTGCAACCTCCTTTCAGGGAGCTGTAGAGGGCGATGAGGTCTCCCCTCAGCTTCCTCTTCTCCAGACTAAACACCCCCACTTCCCTCAGCTGCTCCTCATACGACCTGTGCTCCAGACCCTGCACCAGCTTCGTTGCCCTTCTCTGGACACGCTCGAGTCATTCCATGTCCTTTTTGTAGTGAGGGGCCCAAAACTAAACACAGGAATCGAGGGGTGGCCTCACCAGTGCCGAGGACAGGGGTCAGATCCCTTCCCTGTCCCTGCTGGCCACGCTATTGCTGACACAAGCCAGGATGCCATTGGCCTTCTTGGCCCCCTGGGCACATTGCTGGCTCCTGTTCAGCCAGCTGTCAATCACACCCCCAGGTCTCTCTCTGACTGGCAGCTCTCCAGCCACTCCTCCCCAAGCCTGTAGGCTGCTGGGGGTTGTTGTGGCCCAAGGGCAGCCCCCGGCATTTGGCCTTATTGAAACTCCTCCAGTTGGCCTCAGCCCATGGCTCCAGCCTGTCCAGGTCTCTCTGCAGAGCCTCCCTACCCTCGAGCAGATCAACACTCCCACCCAACTTGGTGTCATCTGCAAACTGACTGAGGGTGCACTCGATCATCAATTAAGATGTTAAACAGGAGTGGCCCCAACAGTGAGCCCTGGGGGACACCACTTGTGACCGGCTGCTAACCGGGTTTAACTCCATTCACCACAACTCTTTGGGCCCAGTTGTCCAGCCAGATTTTTTACCCAGTGAAGCGTGTGCCCATCCAAGCCACGAGCAGCCAGTTTTGCCAGGAGCATACTGTGGGAAATGGTGTGAAAGGCCTTGCTAAAGTCAAGGTAGACAACATCCACAGCCTTTCCCTCATCCAATAAGCAGGTCGCCCTGTTGTAGAAGGAGTTTGGGTTTGTCAAGCAGGACCTGCCTTTCATAAACCCATGCTGACTGGGCCTGAGCATCTGCTTGTCCCGCATGTGATGTATGATGGTGCTCAGGATGAGCTGCTCCATCAGTTTCTCTGTCAAGCTGACAGGCCTATAATTTCCCAGATCATACTTCTGACCCTTCATCACACTGGCCAATCTTGAATCTGTGGGGACCTCCCTGGTCAGCCAGGACTGCTGGTAAATAATGGAAAGCGGCTTACTGAAACACTTGTTAAAACCAGTGAAATGATTAACATTGCGTCCAAACTGTTATTTACAAAAGTAGGAATCTTCCCATTCAGGTCAGTTTCTTATACATGTGACTCTCTCTTCTCCCCTTCCTACTTCTAAAATACTTGTCATTGGCAGGTCCCTTTCTAAAGGAATTTTTCATATTCTGTGTAAATTGTGGCCTTAGCTCTGCAATTTGAAAACTGAGCAGTGGGAGAGACTCTTTCCTCTACCTGTTTTGGGTTGTTTGTTTTGTTGTGTGTTTTTTTTTTTTTTTTTT